CTTTGAACCCCCCCTCCTCCTCCACTGCTCTTGGACCCCCCCCCCCCCCTTCCCAGGTGGCCGAGATCGACGGCTACCGCGAGTCGCTCGAGGCGCTGCAGTGCGACCTCGACGCCATCGCAGCCTACGCCGAGGAGATGGGGTCGATGCGGATCAGCCGCAACCCGTACTCGCGCTTCGGCATGCCGGACCTACTCGCTGTGAATAGAAGAGCTGTGAATAGAAGAGCTGTGAATAGAACAGCTGTGAATAGGCATGCCGGACCTACTCGCGCACATGAGCCGGTGCGAGGCGGCGCTCGAGGCGAGGCAGGTGTCGGTGCAGGAGGCGCTCGCGCACCAGCAGCAGATCGACGCGACCAAAAAGGCGTTCGCGGCGGCGGCGGACGCGATCCTCGAGTTCGTCAAGGCGGAGCGCGTCAAGCTGGACGCGGTCGCGCCGCCCGGGCTGGTCATCCAGCCCGACGACACGGCGGCGATCGAGAAGGGCAAGGCGATGGGGAGTGCGCTGGACGCGCTGATGGCGCCGGACGCCAAGGAGGGGCGCGACGCGAAGCTGCTGCCGGCGCAGGAGCTGTCCGACAAGCTGATGGAGGCCGCGGAGCTGGACAACCCGTACACGGCGCAGACGATCATGACGCTCAAGACGCAGATCGACCTCCTCGACAAGGTGTGAATAGAACAGCTGTGAATAGAACAGCTGTGAATAGAACAGCAGATCGACCTCCTCGACAAGGTGCGAGATATGGGGAGATATGGGGAGATACGAGGAGATATGGGCAGATCGACCTCCTCGACAAGGTGCGCCGTCGCGGCAGCCGGTCCTCGACGCGTCGAGGGAGGGAGGGAGGGAGAGAGAGAGAGAGGGAGGGAGAGAGAGAGAGAGAGAGGGAGGGAGAGAGGGAGGGAGAGGGAGGGAGGGAGAGGGAGGGAGAGAGAGAGTGAGAGAGAGAGAGAGAGAGCGCGAGGGGCAGCTCCTCGAGGCTGTTAGTATTCACAGCCGGTATTCACAGCGGCGGCCGGTCCTCGACGCGTCGAGGGGCAGCTCCTCCATGAGGAGATATGGGGAGATATGGGGAGATATGGGGAGATACGAGGAGATATGGGCAGCTCCTCCATGAGGGGGGCCCTTCCGAGCCCGTCAGGCGCCCCTTGTCAGGTGCTGCGCGACAAGCGGTCCTTTGTCGAGGGGCAGCTCGCGCGCGCTCAGGCGGGAGATAGAGGGAGATAGGGGGAGATAGGGGGAGATAGCGGTCCTTCGCCGAGGGGCAGCTCGCGCGCGCTCAGGCGGAGACACTTCCTAGACACTTCCTAGACACTTCCTAGACACTTCCTTCGTCGAGGGGCAGCTCGCGCGCGCTCAGGCGGAGACACTTCCTAGACACTTCCTAGACACTTCCTAGACACTTCCTTCGTCGAGGGGCAGCTCGCGCGCGCTCAGGCGGAGACACTTCCTAGACACTTCCTAGACACTTCCTAGACACTTCCTTCGTCGAGGGGCAGCTCGCGCGCGCTCAGGCGGAGACACTTCCTAGACACTTCCTAGACACTTCCTAGACACTTCCTTCGTCGAGGGGCAGCTCGCGCGCGCTCAGGCGGAGACACTTCCTAGACACTTCCTAGACACTTCCTAGACACTTCCTTCGTCGAGGGGCAGCTCGCGCGCGCTCAGGCGGGAGATAGGGGGAGATAGGGGGAGATAGGGGGAGATAGCGGTCCTTCGTCGAGGGGCAGCTCGCGCGCGCTCAGGCGGAGACACTTCCTAGACACTTCCTAGACACTTCCTAGACACTTCCTTCGTCGAGGGGCAGCTCGCGCGCGCTCAGGCGGAGATCACGAGCGAGCAGTACGAGGAGATCAAGAAGGTCTTCTACCACTTCGACAAGTCCAAGGACGGGCTGCTCCTATTCACAGCTGTTCTATTCACAGCTCTTCTATTCACAGCTCTTCTATTCACAGGACGGGCTGCTCAACCAGCTCGAGTTTGCGGCCGCCATCAAGGCGATGGACTTCGAGATAGCGGACCACGAGCAGGAGCCGACTTTCCTCCGGTTCGCCAAAGAGGGGCAGCGCGCCGAGGAGCCGGCGGCGATGACCATCGACCTGAGCGGCTTCACCACCTTCGTGCTCCAGCAGTACAAGGACAACGACACCAAGGACACCCTCTTCGCGGCCTTCGAGACGGCACGCCGACGGCGACGGCGCGCCGCGACACCGCCCAAGGCGCCGGCCCTCACGCCGAGGCTGGGCGAGAGTAGGTTGCAAACGGCAAGGACACGCTGTCCGCCGAGGACATCCGTGCGGCGATCCCGCAGGAGGAGGCGAGCCGCACGGGCTAGCCGAGAGGAGTTGCCCCAGAGTAGTTGGCGGCCCGCAGGAGGCGAGCGAGCACTGCTGCTGCAAGAGACGGGCGCTGCGACCCTTCCCCCCCCCCACCCCCCCTCCCCCCGTGCGGCGGGCAGGCGGACTACCTGCTCTCGCAGCTCGAGCTGAAGGACGGCGACCACGGCCTCGAGTACAAAAAGTTCACAGAGGCCATCTACGGCGGCACCTGAGGGGAGGGGGGGAGAGCAGGCCCACACGGCAGCATGTGCATTAGACAAGGGCGTCGGCCCACCCCTCCCCCCCGCTCCCCGCTCTCCGCCACTCCTCTGCTCTGCCAGGGAGCGTGCGGCTGGGGACGGGCGCGGTGGCGTAGCAGTCTTGTGGAGCGTATTGCGTCGAGCCAGCGGCGCAGGCTGCTGCGGCGACCGCCGCTCCGCCGCACGGAGGCGCACGCATTTCCGCGTGATCGGTCGGTGTCACGAGGGAGAGAGCAAGCTAGACGAGCCTTTGTGTACAAACAATGTGTTTTTCGAGCGCCGCCGCAGGGGGGTGCTCTCAAAAAAGAACTCATGGAATCGCCCCCAAGGACCGGCACGCCCCCCCCCTTTGGGAGGTTCCCCGGGTGGAGGTTCGTGTCATGAGAGAAAAGATACACCACTCCGTGTATCTAGACGCACGGAAGATACACCGAAGATACACCGCAGATTTACTTATGCGGGTTCCGCGCCGAAGCGGTGTATCTTCATACGAAGATACACGGGTTCCAGGTCGAAGCGGTGTATCTTCACGGAGCGCGTTCATAGTGAAGATACACGGAAGCGGGAGCGGCAGTTGCTCATGGAGCTGGACGGGCTCGGCCCGCCCTTTGAGGGCTCCAATGGCGTCTGGTTCCGCGCCGGCGTCTGGAAGGGCAAGCCCGTGGCCCTCCGCATGTCGTCCGCATCCAGCACCGGCTTCGAGAACGTTATCGTGCAAGGCGGCAGCAAGAAGCGCAACAACCCCTTTTGCGCCAAGTTCAAGCCGGTCGGCGAGAAGTTTCAGCGCCACCTGCCCGGCTCGAACAGCGCGACAGCCGAGGAGGCGGCCGCCAAGCTGGCCTACTACCACGAGTACGGGTCGGAGCTGCCGCCGCCTGCAGCTCGCAAGCCTCGCCGCCGCCCAGAGGTGCGCTCCTGAGCCCGCACCCATCCTGGCTGCGCTCAGTCCTCCTTCCCTGGGCTGTAGGATATGGCGGTAGAGCGGGCGGCCAAGGAGGCGCGCAAGCAGGCCAGGCGGCCGCAGAGGCCGCCGCTCACGCCCGCGCCGGCGCAGCCTCCACAGTCTCCTCTCACGGGTCCCGGTGTGCCGTGTGTGCCGGTAGTCCCTCTCCCCATGGGCTACCACCCCTTGCCCTCGGAGCCAGTCATCCCTGTGGGCCCTGTGGGTGAGCCCCAGCCAGGCCAGTGCCAGCACTCGTGGGACCCGGCCACCTGCGTCCTCTGCAACTGGTCCTGGGGCGCCCGGCGCTGAGATACACTCAAGATACACTCGAAGATACACTTCGAAGATACACCGGTGGGATGTTATAAAGGTGTATCTTTGAAATGTATAGTCAAGTGTATCTTTGGCTATCACTCGAACTTTGGACAAGGGAATGGCCCAAAGAGGGGGGCGTGCCGGTCCTTGATCGCCCCCGTGCTGGCTGCTGGCGATTTACTGGTCGAAATCGTGAGAGTGGTATTGACCACTTATTTGTTCATGTTCTCCTATGGTATGAGCAGAGAGTGGTATGGTAAATTACGAAACTCCGTGGAATCATCAAATTTTCGGGATCTGAGCCGAGTCTGAGGCTGGTTTGCGGCCAAATTCAGCCAAATTGGCAAAATACCGGGTAGTTTGCGGGTACCCTTCTCCGCCTGCTCACTCAAGTACTCGCGCACACGGCGGCGCACCTCGCGCAGCGCCCTCGAGTGCTTAGCGCCGTGCGGCAGTAGCATCGGCACGTCGTCGGGCAGCATGGCCTCGTCCTGCTCGTCCTCGTCTCGCGCACGAAGAAGCTCCATGACGGCGCTGCGCCGCAAACTCCTCCGCCCCGAGCGGGCGTGCAGTGGGAGCGGCGCGTCCCCAGCCTCGCCGCCGCCCCCCTCGACGCCGCTCCCCTCGCCGCCGGTGGCGACCGCGCTGCCGATCTCGGTCGCGCTGGCCGGCAGCGCGTCCGCAGCCTCGTCGCTGCCCTCGCCGTCGCTGTCCTCGCCGCTGGTGGGGGCCGCGCCGCCGGCGCCGAGCGTCACCCGCCTCCACGTCTCTTCCTCTAAGTTGAGCCGGAAATCCTGGTCGGGGTAGCCGTCGTACTCGACCGCGTGCACGAGCCGGCCGTCCGAACCCTCCTCCCGCCCCGTGATGGTGCCCGGCCACCACCTCTGCTCGCCCAGGATCTCCACGTGCGTGCCTGTCTCGACGACAGCGTGCCCGGCGATCCTAGGGATCCCTAGCCGCCGCGTCCACGCGCAGCCGTTTCCGCCGCGCCGTCTTAGACCCCGCGGCCTGCGGCAGGACGTAGTTCGGGCCGTACTCCGCGACGTTCGCGAGGACCTCGGCCGCGCTCACCGTCTCGACCGCGGCCTCAGCCGGTGGAGGGGGGGGCTCGACCCGTCGTTCGACCCGTCGTTCCGTGACCTCCCGCGCCAGCCGCTCGCCAGCCGCTCCCTGATGCGCCGCCCGTCGGTCGACGCCCTCGCCTCTGCGCTCAGCCAACGACGCCGTCGCTGTCCTCGCCGACGTGACCGTGATTCGAGGCCGCCCATCGGCCATTCTGCATTCCTACCGCAGGTAATTCCGAAGTCGTCCCCCCCCCCCCTCGGACACGTCCCTCCCTGTCCTCTCCACTGGTTCCTCAGTCCGAGCCTGGCTGTTCTTCACCTGTCTACCTACCTACCTACCTTCCTCTACTTGTATACATACCTAGCAATGTATACTTGAAAAATAACTATTTTGCCGATTTTTTCGATTTTTGTCAGGTTTTGCCTCAGAAGTCGTGGTAAATCTTACCTCGATTTTTGAGGGGTTCTGTGAGAGCGGCTCTTTATGCGGCTCTCGCGCCTCCCGGGCTCCGCCCGCGCGCTCGCCGAACGGCTCAGCGACCTCTGCGAGCCCATCGAGGCGGCCCTGCACGAGCTCAATGCGGCGCACGCGCCGTCGATCGAGCGCGGCACCGGCAGCTTTTGACTTTTTGCGGCTACAATTGTCCTAGAGCGCGCGATGGTCCGCGGCTACAGTGCCTACTATTTATCTCAATCTGATTATAACATCGATCTTCTGAGCGATTCTAAGATCAGGTCTGCCACCTCCCCACTGAAAACGAAAATCTAAGTTTCAAATCTCGAATAAATCTCGAAACCCACTTGAATGCTCACTTGGCAGGTACATATGCGCCACGCGCCCCAACCGCTCCTCTGGTCGCCGCCGGCCTCCGCGCATGTGGTGCATTTGCGCCGCTGGTACAGTGTGCTGTGCCGGATTGGCTTGCCATTCGTCCGGTTGCCAAGCACCATCTCCCACTGCGGCCGATCCCTGGTGTAGTAGTACATCGCGATCGAGCGCCGGCTCCGGTGCGGCGGGCATGCGAGCGGGTCCGCGTGGCCGTGATAGCTATAGTCCGTCGATGAGAAGACAACGAGCCGGTTGCGCACAGGCGCGATCCGGGCCTCACACTGGGTCATCGGCCGGTTCCACAGCTCGAGCTCCCCGCCCCACGCATCGTCCCAGTCGTGGTTCAGGAAGAGGAAGACGTTGACGCGGCGCTCAAGCCGCAGCTGTCGGTGCGAGTTGAAGTCGGCGTGGATCTGAAGAGAGCCGTTTCTCAGGATCTGGTGCAGCCCGGCACCAAAGAGGGTCGGGTCCACGATGAGCGGGCTGATCCCAGTGAGCGCTTCGAGGAAGGCGAGGAAGGGTGGGCTCTGCATCGCATGCACGACACCGCGAAGGTGTGGGCCCATCAGCTTGGGTTTGGAGTTTGCGATCTTGAGCCAACCGCCTTCTTTTTCGGCAAAGCACTTCCAACCACGCGCCTGTGCTGCATTGCAAGCCTCTGGACCCGCATCCAGTGCGTCCGGAAACTCGCGATCGATCGCCTCGAAGAGGCTCTCTGGGAACAGTCCATCGAGCTTAGCGTGGGGAAAGGGGCGCGCTGCTGCGTAGGCGGCTCGGCTCTCCGCCGCCCTACGCTGGAGGTCTTGATCGGCGAGGTGGGCCATCAAAGAAGTGCCAACGCGGGCGTGGCCGCGGCTTGGTGGCACTCCGAAATGCCCATTTGATTGTTTTGGGGGGCTATACCAGTAAATCGCCAGCACTGAAACGCCGCGCGCCCGCGCGTAGAGTAGCGGGCGGCGGGCCTGGAGAGCAGTCTCTGTATATCGGCTTTTTATACTTTTTTGTGGGGTACCAACTATCATGTTTGAGCCATGTAAGGCACTTGCTTGCACATGGTTACAAAGAGAGAGAGAGTGGTACGCAAACATCGTGACACCCCGCGTCTGCGGCCTCGCTCTTCTCGTCCTTCTCTATAGTCTATTTCGCGGCTGCTGTGGCCGGTGCATCGCGGCGACCGGCCCGGGAAAGGGTATAGCGTAATCCGTAAAGCTACCGTACATACGTAAACTGTACATCGAGGCCGGCGGAGGCGGGAAGCGGCATGGAGATGCACGGCTCAGCGCAGGCGAGCACCCAGCGCCGCCCCGGCAGCGAAGGCGAGCAAGACGAGGCCCGCGGCCTCCATCCCGGAAATGGCGCGCGGCGGCGGTGGCGGCAGGAGCACCACGGGCGGCGGCGCGGCGGCGGGCGCACTGTCTCGAGCCCGCGGCATCGCGTCGAGCACCTGGAGCACCGCGTCCGAGGAGGCGATGGCGCCAAAGACTGCGGGGGAGGGGGGGGGGGGGGGGGTGGCGGGCGGGCGGCGGGCGGGCGGGCGGCGGCGGCGGCGGCGGGGGGGGGGGGGGGGTGGAGGCGGCAGCAGCGCATCTCCCCACATCTCCCCGTATCTCCCCATCGCACCTCCGCCCTGCATCGTCACCATCTTGTGTGCCGCTGCGTGGTTGCCTAGTGATGCATCATGGCGTTGTGCACAGCATCTGTGAGTCAAATGCGTCGTCGCCCTCCTGTGCCGCTGCGTGGCTGCCTCTGTCGGTCGCGCCCGTGCCGTCTGTGATGAGGCAGCACTCGAATCCGCGGTCGTTTGCCTTTTCACAGACGCAAGTGTATGAACAGGTGCGCCGGCTGCAGGCAGCACTCAAAGCCGCGGGTCGTTTGCCTCGCGCATCGTGGTGTGCACGCACACGTCCGTCGTGATGCCGCCGAGCAGCAGCCGCTGGCAGCCTGTCCACGCGTGGAGCTGTGAAGAGGCGCTGTTCACAGGTGAGTCGGCGAGCAACGGCCTCTCGTGGCAGCACGCTGTTTTGTGGGGGCGTGCCTGTAGCACTCCAAGTGTCGTGTCTGCACCAGCGAACCCACCCTCCTGGCAAGTTTCTCTAGACTGTCTTTACGCAATGCCCCCTAGGCCCGGCGCCTGTCGTGCGCAGCAGGTGCTCGAGGTCGGTGGCAAAGAAGGAGCCCTTGCCGGGCTTGTCGATGATATCCTCGCTCGGCAGCGGCCTGAGCTCGTCGATCAGCTCCCAGCCCGGCTCGCCGCGCACCAGCACCCGACCGCACGGCCCGGGCTGCCCGATCTCGGTGCCGATCGCTGTCGACCGCAGCCGCTTGTTCTGCGGGAGGTCAGCCAGACTCGGCCGATGGCCCTCTCGCGTGTGGATGACGCGCACGCCCGCGGCACGAGCCGCCGCCAGCACGCGCTGTAACGGCTTGATGGGAGCACGCGTGGCGGAGATATCGTAGCCCATTCGGTCGACGTAGCCTCCCTTGCCGCAGAAGTCGTGCTGCATGTCGATGAGGACCAGCGCCGTCGTAGAGGCGTCGAGCGGGCCGCCGCACGGCCAGGAGTAGGGCTGGGATCGCAACATCGTTCCTCTACTACTACTCCTCTACTCGAGTACCCCCTGTATCGGGGTTATGGGGGGTTTACGAGGTGTGAACGTGAACAGAGTAGCCAGATCGCTGTCGATCGTTACGGCACGCATGGGGGGCCTCCCGGACGTATGATCCTAGCCCAATAAGCTCCACGGAGCAGATTTGGATTTTTGACAGAATTAAATGCACTGCCCCCGCTCGGTACTAATAGTCTCGTAGTTTTGGGGGCGGCGCCCCTCACGGCACCACACTGACGCCGGACAGCCCGAGATTAGCCTAGCAGTGAGTGGGAATCGCCTGCCGGTCGGCTTGGCACGAGCCAAGCACTTGGGCGGCCGTCAACCGAGTCCGAGCGGCGCCTGAGGTGGGTGCCACGGCGTCCGCACGAAGGCGTGGCGGGGTGAGGAGCCAGCGGTGGTGAACACCTCCCTGACGGGCGCGCGGCGCGCCGGATGGTCCGCCGAGGCCGCCGCCGCCCCGGCGGCGGCGATGGGGGCGGCGGGGCCGACCCGGCCGGCGTTTGTCGGCTCCACCTACAGAAGAGCAGTCTCTGTGGGTCGACGATACTAACTCGGTAGTAACGCTGAGCGGTGCTGTGCGACGCCGCGTCGTGCGCGAGGCGACCTCCTGGGGCTACCTGGGCTGGCAATGGATGCCACCAGGACGCACGGCTAGCAGGAGCCAGTCGGGCATGCCCTGCTGTGGAGCAGAGCCTGCTGGCGCACCGGCGATACTAACTCAGCGCGCCGCGAGAGGCAAATCTGGGCGACTTTGGAGGCGCAGTTCTCGAGCTTGCCGTCGACGATTGATGTCGGGTAAATTGTCACTGCCGTCCGGGAAGGTCTTCTCTCAGCAGGCCGAGCGCCGTGGCATCGCGCTGCTCGCAGCGCTGTCGCGGCGCCGAGAACCCCCAAAACTCGCGAGACCTCGATACTAACAAAGACTACGATACTGGGGGTACCCGTAGTTGCCCGTTCCCCCAGGGGGGGCCCCCCCCCCCCCCCCCGCCACTGCCTTGCGTTGGCTCTGTAAAAAAAAGCCTCGGTTTCCAGCTGGTTTGGGTTCTGCATATAGGTAGGTCATCTCTCCCGTGTGTCTGTCTCGCGTCCACCCTTACCGCGTTGGTGTTGTCCAGTCCGAGCCTGGCTGGCTGGCTGTTCTTCACCTTCCTACAGCTGGTACTTCTTGCTCCCTTGCTGCTTCGGGCGGTAGCAGACGCCTTTGTAGCCGGTGTTGCTGCTGCTACTGGCGGTGAGGGTGAGATGCGTATGCGTGATACGTAAGGGGGGGGGGGGCTCGGGGGCGCGCGGGGCGAGATACATAATCCGTAAACGTGAGACGTGGTACGTAAGGCACCGCCGCGCGGGCCATTGCACCGTCCCCCGGGCAAAGCTTTGCGGTGAAAAGGACGTATGCGTAATGCGGATACGTGATACGTCGAAGACGCCCCGCCCCCCCGCGGGCCGCGGCGCACCGGCGGAGATCCATAATCCGTATACGTGACACGTGGTACGTATGAGGCAACCACAGGGCCATCGCACCGTCACGCAAGCGATGATTACGTGTATGTATTGACGTATTTTATTTATTTTTGAAGGGGGAGGCGTTCGACGGGCTTCGGGCTGCGTAATGCGACGCATTTGGACTGGCAAGTGACGCACACGGCACACGCACCGAGTTTACGTATTCCCGAGAGGGCGTAATGTGATGCGTATGCATATGGGCCTCCTTGCATATGCGTAGCAGTACAGACCACGATTGCTCGCCCTCCCTCACTGGAGAGTATTCATTGGGGGGGGGGTCATAACAAACACGGTACAGGATCGAGGTGCACGCTGCAGACGCAGTGTCGTCCCCCCTCTCCATCATCCCACTGGGAGACGTCGGCGGTGATGGCGGTGTGACCGATCGAGCTAAGAGGAACTTGTTCAGCAGGATCCGGAGTTGGTCAGATGCACTACCTCACTGGGCATGAGACCACCGTACGACGCATCCATCACCGTCGCGGATTTGTGTGGTGGCTAGAGCTGTTTAACGTTGGGAGCTGAACACAACAGTGTTGCTAGTGTTAACAGTAACAACAGAACAACAGTGGGGCTCCCCAACAACAGTAGCTAACGTTAGGCCGGCTGAACAACAATAAGGAAGGCCTGGCAGTGACCCACGACGACCTCCAGTGTCCAGTGAGGGTAATACCCGAAAATACCCGGGAAAACCCAGGTATTTTCGGGTTTTACCCGGGTTTTTTGCCGTTTTCTGCTTGCTGGCCGCTGAACAACAGTAACAACAGTAACAAACAGTAACAGCATGGGCTGGGGTGAACACTTGAACAACGTCAAGGATTTCAGCCAACACTAGCGCAACTGTTAGGCCCAAAGTTAATGTTAAACAGCTCTAGTGGTGGCTGGGCCTCCTACGGGGTGTGGAGGGTGAGTTGACCAGGGGGTTGTGCGCCGGGCCCTGCTGCTCGGCTCCAGCCCCTGTTGATAGGTCCAGGTGATAGTCCTGGATGGGCAATGCATACGCCTCACTGGGCCTTAGATCGCCCGACCGCGTCCCGGTGCTCTGCCGTCGGATTTGTGACTCCGCCGCACCGCGTCGCGGCCGGGGGCCCTCGTCCGGAGGCCGAGGATGGCCGTGACAGACCGGGACGAGCTCTGGGAGGTTCAGTGTCAGTGTATATATTGTAGAGACTAACCATGTCCACAATATCTCTCAGTCTAGCTAAGCCTGGGAAGGCGATGCCGGGGCCGTACAGCAGCTTGATGAATGCCACCGAAGGGGCGCTGTCGAGGTTCGCCGAGCGCGGCGAAATCCGGGGACACCGTCACCGACGAGCGCGTTTGAGTATTCACTCCGGACAAAGACAGTGGCACGCGCCGCTGCGCGGTGCGTGCCACTGTCTTAGCGGCGAGGCGCGGGACCGTCTGTGGCGAAGTGGGTCGCGTCCCCGGATTTCCGTCAACCCAGCATCCACACCCTTTATTGGTGCTCCCCTTCGAATCCGCGGATCCTCGCCCTTCGGCACTATTCAATACACTATTCATCTGACCACTCTGTGAGGGGCTGTGAGAGCTTCTACGCGAGCGGCCGCGCTCCGGGTCAGGGCTAGGCAGGATGGGCTCGGGCCACTTACCCATGCTCATGTATCCCCGAATGAGCCTGATGGAGGCCTCGACCATCCCTCGCGGCAGGCTCTCGAGCAGCTCTAGCAGCTCGCCCGCGTTTGCGTGAAAAATTCTTTTTCGCTTAGACGGCTCCCGTGGTGTACCTGTGTTAGTGCCAGTGCGCGCCAGGCCCGTGCCCATAAAAAATAAAATCATGAAAGTTCATAAAAAGGAGATACCGTCCACCACACACCACTCACACCAGGGATTGCTCACCTCAGTGGAGGGTGCCTCGCGCAACCGAGGGGGAGGGGAGAGAGGGGGGGCGGGGGGTAGCTGCCCAGTTTTTCTTCTAAGCAACCATAAGGGGCATGGCGCGAGACGCGAGAGAGACCGCGTATATGACTTATGAGAGTACACGGCTGTTCCCCTGTTGTACACGCCGGTCCGGCGGTCCGCGATCGCCGCGCACGCCGCGTCCCGCGCCGCGCGCCGGCGCCTCCCTGCCCCTGTCATGCACATCACAAGGCCCGAGATCGGCCCCATAAATAGGGGTTGCCAAAGAAGCAAGCGAGCCCCGCTCCCGTCTCGGCTCAGCCGGTCGCGGTCGCGGTCATGCGTCCAGCTCCAGGGAGAGGCAGAGCGTGGATAGCGTCCGCGGGATCCGCCGCGCAATGGGGAAGCAGGCTGCCCACCACGGCCGCCGCACGGGCTTCACCGGCTCGCGGCTCCGGAGCGAGAGGGAGAGGGTAGCCGAAATAAATATAAAACGGACACCTCTACTGCGCGAAAAACATGCGCGCTTCAGGCCCACGCCTCGATCTTCTTGGGCAGCAGCTGGTTGGACACGTCCTCTCCGTGTCCTAGGCAGGCGTCTTCGCCCTTGCCCCAGGTAAAGACAGCGCTGTCGGCGATGAGGGAGAGGCTATGGTACTCTCCAGCCGACACGGCAACGACGCGCTGGCCAGCCAAAGCCTCGATCTTCTTTGGCAGCAGCTGCTGCTGCTCGTCGCCGTGGCCCAGTCGGCCATCCTCTCCAAGCCCCCAGCTCCAGACGGCGCCGTCGGCGGTGAGGGCGAGGCTGTGAGACAGTCCAGCCGACACAGCGACGACGCGCTGGTCAGCAAAGGCCTCAACCTTCTTGGGCAGCCACTCGCGCTGCTCGTCGCCGTGGCCCAACCTGCCACAGGTTCCCTGGCCCCAGCTCCAGACCTCTCCGTCGGCGGTGAGGGCGATGCTGTGGTCGCCTCCAGCCGACACGGCGACGACACGCCGGCCAGTCAAGGCCTCGATCTCCTTGGGCAGCAGCTGCTCCTGCAGGTTGCCGTGGCCCAACTTGCCATAGTCTCCATCGCCCCAGCTCCAGATGGCGCCGTCGGCGGTGATGGCGAGGCTGTGGTATGTTCCAGCCGACACAGCGACGACGCGCTGGCCAGCAAAGGCCTCGATCTTCTTGGGCAGCAGCTGGCCCTGCTGGTCGCCGTGGCCCAGCTGGCCAAAGCCTCCATAGCCCCAGCTCCAGACAGCGCCGTCGGCGGTGATGGTGATGCTGTGGTAAGCTCCAGCCGACACAGCGACGACGCGCTGGCCAGCAAAGGCCTCGATCTTCTCAGGAAGCTCCGTGTCCTGCTCGTCGCCGTGGCCCAGCTGGCCAGAGCCTCCATCGCCCCAGCTCCAGACGGAGCCGTCGGCAGCGAGGGCGAGGCTGTGGAAATCTCCAGCCGACACGCTCACAGCACGCTCGCCGCCCAGGGGAGAAGGGAGGCGGGTCAGCGTGTTGAGCTGCGTCACTTCATCGCCGTGGCCCAGCAACCCTGGAGCGTAGGACGGCGCTGAGCCGCACGACGAGAGCCGCCCCTCGCCGTCGATGAAGAGGCTGTGTTGTTCGCCTGCCGCCAGCCTCGCCGGCGGGTTGGACTCGCGCAGCAAGGCATAGTAGCACAGCCACCGCACAGCGCAGCTCTCTCCCTCTGGCTGCGCCGGCGGCTCGTAGCCGGCCTCTTGCAGGCGCAAGCGGATGCCCTCCAGCGCAAGCGAGGCGTGGAAGAGCAGCGAGACGGCCGCGACGCGAGCGATGTCGGCGGGGTCGCAGCGAGAGAGGGCGCGCACGAGGAGCTCCGTGGGGAGATCGAGGAGGCGGGTGGGCGGCGACGCGTCCGGCGAGGGGGCGGCGGCGGAGGCGGCGAGGCGGCGCGAGCGGCGGCGCGGCGGGGTGGACATCGCGAGAAAAAGAATTTCCGCGCGCAGGATTTTGAACAGTGGTCTCATCCCTCCCTTGGGTTGTCTGTTTTCTTTCTTTCTTTCAGTGATGTCAAAAAGAATTATCCCTCGACCTTCCGTCCTTTCTTTCGTCGCAATTTACTCCCCAGTCACTCCCGGAGCCCTCCCTAGCCATCAACCCGCGGACCTCCACACCAAACCCGTCCCCCCACGAGAACGAGCCGCCCGGGGTGGAGCGCCGCCACCTGCCGGGCCTCGCGCACCTCCCACAGACACACCCCTCCCACGAAGAAGAGGAGGACCGCGGAGTGCTCCGCCGCGTGCCGCCTCGCCCCCGCCAGCCTCGCGCGCGCGCGGGAGAGGAGCCCCCCCGCCGCCTCGGCCGGCGAGACGCGCACCAGCCCGCGAGCCTCCTCGCCGGCCAGCACCCGCTCGAGCAGCCGCCGCGCGACGGGCTGGTACACGTCCCCCTCCGCCTGCAGGGGCGGGGTTCGATGCCGCGGCCCCTGGAGACGCGCCATCACAGAGGTGGGTCACTCTTTCGCCGCCCCCGCGCTCAGATCAAGTGCTGCTACCCACGGTCCGAATGCGAGGCGCGGCCCAACTTACCCTGCGCGATGGCTCCAGTGCCAGAGATGGGCCTCCCAGAGCACACATGCCCCGATTGGGAGCCGGAACCGGAGCCGGAGTCGGAGCCGGAGCCGTACGGGCGCATGCTTTTTGCGCCGGACGGCCATGCGGAGCTCGGCCGCGTCGAAGACCGCCACACGGTGTGCGCCGACACGCCGGACGAGCTCCTCGCACCTGTCGCGGAGACCCTCGGGCTCCCCGCTGCCACTTGCGCCGAGCTCCTTCTCGAAGGCGCGTGCAAGCTCCGTGAGGTCAAGGACGTGTGCGCCAAAACGTGTGAGGCGTGCAAGAAAGACAGGGAGGCAAGCTTGGGGTAGACATGAAGTGCACCGGTTCTGATGGACCTTTGGCCAGCTTGGGGTAGACATGAAGTGCACCGGTTCTGATGGACCCTTGCGAGAGGTGGCGAGCGGAGCAAGAGCGGTGACCGGTGTACGGGGCTCCTCGCCACTTTGCTGCTATTTGACCTCAACTCGCGGCCCGCCGCGCGGCTCTCCGAGCGCGAGAGGAGTCGTCTACGAGGCGGCGGCGAGCGCAGGCGGCGGCGACGCGGCGGCGCGGCGGCGGATCGCGGCGCTGACAACGGCAGCAATCTGCGGCAGGCTGCTACTTGCTGCAGCAGCTGTTGCTGCTGCTGCTGCTCCGCTGCTGCTGATTGTGGATACCATACCTCCGATCACCCCGCCCGCCCGCCCCGCCCCGCCCGCCCGCCTCTCCCCGCTTGCCCGCCCGCCCGCCCGCCCGCCCGCCCGCCCGCCCGCCCGCCCGCCCGACCGACCGACCACCCATTCCCATCACCATCTCACATACCTACAATATAGGCGCTCTCGAGAGCTCCATTCGCGGCCTACTCGCTGCCTCGAGGGAGGAGGGCAAGAGGACGGGCGTGCTTGCGCGCCTGGCGCGAGGCCCCTCCCCGAAAGGCAAGTATTAGACCCATGAAACCGAGACCCATCCCCACCGCCCCGACCCCCCCACCCCCTTGCTCCCCTCCCCCCCTCGGGAGGGCCGAACTGAGGCGCCCGTGGGGACCCCCCGCAATTCCCTTCCCCCCTCGGAGCGAGGGCCGGACTGAGGCGTCGAGGGCCCCGCTCTTTCCCTCGCATAGCGGCCACTCTTCGGATCGCTGGTCGAGCGACCCGGGGGATGCCCCGCGCGCCTGACCCAGGCGCGAGAAACGAATCTGCGAGGCGTGGCCGCTTATGCGGCCCGATGGGGAGGAGCGGGGCGGACTACGGGGATCGGCTTCTTACACAGCCCTTCCCTGCAGCGAGCCCCCTTCCAACCCACCCGCGCTAGGTCCCGGGGGACGCAGGGGTCAGCCCCGCGCGACCTCGGGAACTAGCCGGGGCAGTCGGAGAAGGGGCAACTCCGCGCACTGACGGTCGGCCGCCAGAAAACACGCCTGCGAGCGAGCGGCGTGCGTGCGTGCGTGCGTGCGTGCAGAGCGGGCGGTGGGGCGATGGAAGTGAGGGCGTCGGCATGGGCGGTGGTGGTGAGAGCGGCGGTGAGGAAGGTGGTGGTGGCGAGGCCGGAGGGCAGCAGCCGCTGCCGCTGCTGCTGCTGCTGCCGCTGCTGCCGCCACCGCCGCCGCCGCCGCCGCCGCTGCTGCTGTTGCGGCACCTCGCATGCGCCACCAGAGCGGCTCAGGAAACGCAGCGAGCTGCGTTGACAGCCCAATTCCTGAGCAGCTCTGTTCCCCTGCCGCCTACCCGCTCAATGTCACCATTGTAAAATGTGAAAGGGGGTAAGGTAAAGGGGGGGGGCAGTACCACAATGAGACGGGGGTACACCTACCGATACCGGGATGGCTCTCCGGTACCGGCGTGATACCCGGGCGACATCTCCCCCGCCAATGGTAATGGAATGGGCATGATGAGGATGAGCATGATGGGTGACCACTCAGTGGGTCAGGGGTTGAGCACATGAGTGCATGAGGTGGGCATGGGATGAGCACTGAATGAGAGTGCGGTGTAAATGAGCACATGGATGTATACGCGCACGCCAGCACATTCGCATGTGTGCCCTTGCCTATGGCTCGGCAGGTCCGATGGCTGATAATCCAGCCGTACTGGCATTCGCCCACGACATTCGGTCCTGCTCTCAGCAAGACCATCCTCGATCGCGTGGGCAGCTCCACTGTCATCGCCACTGTCGACCGCTCAGCCTACCGCGCGATGAGCAAGGGCAGCGAATGGTACAAACTGTACACTCAGGCTCTCGAGCTGCCGCACGTGGCGACTCCCGAGCTTGCTCAACGGGCGTCTACCTGTCGTCAGCAGCCCGCGAAGTGCGACGACGGATCCGCCGAACAGCCTGCACGCTCGGGCTACATGTTCCATGGCGATATGAATCGCTTTGACATGGGCGTTCGGGGGGCAATGCGCTCTATCATGGAGCACCTCAAGGCGAATGTGTCTCTGCAGCCTCGAATGCTCTCCCGTGGGTGGGCGGCAAAAGGGGGCGACGGCATGCCCGAGTCGGTAGACGAGCGCACGGGCGCCGCAATTATCAGCGAGAGCCATCGCCGCTTTCGAAATTTTTCCCTCGCCACCTCTGCCGCAATGCTGCGCGCCTCCACGTGCTTTGCCCCACAGGGCGATATCATCACGACGCGGCGCCTGTTTGACACTGTCGCCGCTGCCTGTGTGCCGGTGGTGATGAAGAACCTGGGCAACGCGCCCAAGCAGTGGCTTTTGGGCAACAATCCGTTCCCGCACTCGATCAACTGGAGGGCACTCGCCTTTTTTATGGCGCCGCGCGGCACTGTCCTGAGCGAGCGTGAAGGCAACGGCGGCACGGGTTTGACCTCGCGCAATGCATGCCGCCGCGAGGAGGCGCAATGGCTGGAAGCGAGGCACGCCGACGCGCCACTCCTTAGGCGGATGCGCCACAACCTGCGCGCGGCGTTCACTGCCCATTTGGACGTCGAGCACAACCCGCGTGGCTTGGCGCGGGCTATACTGCACGAGCTCAACTTTGTACTTGAGGACGCCGCACAGCTCCGTCGCGTCTCGGTCTACAAAGGGGTTGAGGTCACAAAGAATGGACGCATTCAGCTCCCACCCCCGCAACAGTTCTGAGCATTGAGGCTGACAGAAAACGTATGATGACAGAAAACGTACTGCAGTACATGGTTGGTACCAGACCAGATCAGATCAGTTTTGTTTTGGTACCAGAGACGTTAGAGGGGCGCTACCCTCTTGGCTGGGAGACGCGCCACGCGTCGATGGGGCTCTTTGGCTTCCTGAACAATACCAACATCCTGTTCTTTTACTGCCTCTCACGGCTCATGTGCTGCTTTCCGCCGGTGTTGGGGACGGGGGCGCCGGCACAGCCCACAGGCTTTCACTCTCTAGTCTCGTCTACGTGTACCTACGTACCATACCCAACTCTCTTACGTCTTTTAGCAAACCCCCGTTGAGCGTTGTAGCTCGCATATTGACCCTCGCCGTAGAAACTCTCACACACCTAATAAAGTAACCTCCAAACGAGCTCTCTCTCGACTAACTCCCCTCTCTTTCGGCTCCACCTGGCCTGCCGGATTGCTGGGGACAGCCCCGATGCCGAACCGAGATCGCGCGGTGTGCAGTGCACGGCGCGCTCCCAAGCTCCCTCCACATGCGCATGGCCCAAGAATGTGGCGCCTCCGGCGGGGCGCTGCAGTTGGCCGAAGCCACCCCGAAACCACCCCGAGTTCCGTCAAGCGCCACCGCCGCCCCTCCAGCCCTGCGCGCCGCCGCTGCAAGGTGGCGGAGAGGCGACGGGCGCGACGCCCCGCCCACCCACCGCCCGCCATTGGCCCACGAAGGCATTCATGAGCGCGTCCATGAGTGCGTCCGTCAACACACGCGTCCGTGGCGTGCGGTGACGTGTCCGGCGGCGGTGCTCAGAAGGCGGCGAGGGCGGCGAGCGCGGCCTGCACCTCGTGGATGGCGGCGGGCGCGCCCCGGAAGAGGCGGAGCCGCGCCGAGCGCGGGAAGGAGAAGGAGGCGGTGCAGTCGGCGTCGCCCACGTTGCAGAC